TGGGAGGAAAGCGGACAAAAGTATCTTCATTCAAAGAAAAAATCTCATATACATCTTCACGGTTTGGGAGATCCTAGTTCCAGCCTGGCGGCGGTAGATATTCGGCCTAAGTTAAATAGTTGGATTGAAACCAATCAATGACAATGACAAGTTCTCAGAGAATATATTTCTGTTTTCTTTTTATCATTGCCTAATTATAACTGCCGGAGTAATATTTTAAAAAGGCCACGTATGGCCCGTGATCCTTTCTTACGCGTGATAGTAATCTCGGACTCTACATTAAAAGTTGATTCGAAGTTAACCATTTCGAAAGAGTAGGAAAAGAAACCTACATTGGCATTTTCCCTAATGCTTTCTGAATAACTAATGTTTCGTGAATGTCATATACATAAGTGCTTTTTTAACAAGTTAAAAATGAATATATTATATTGTTCTTTGCAGGCTTAACTTAAAAATATGAAAGCAGTAAATATTTGTTATGTAACGAATATAATGGGGGAAAGGAGAGATTAACTCATTAGAATAACATTGAACATTACTGTCCCACACGTAATCAAAATCGAATGAATTAATGACCATCCGACTTGTTAAATATACCAAAGTTTGTGGGTTTACCACACAATAGCGGACAAAGAAATACGAAACGTGTGGGACGAATGAAACGAATAGTATAGAACAAGAATCGTGCTTCTCTTCATATGTGCCTAAATGAAGTAAATGGGAGGGTTTACTCAAAATGAATTTTGTCCGCTTTGTGGGTTTCAAACCACCACCGTCGGCGCCGCCTCAGTCACTGACGGAGGTGAAGTACCGGGCCGCTGCTTCATAGCCAGACACGAACGACGCAGGCCCCTGCCCGACCGCGAGCACAAAGGACGCCAATCGTGCGTATGCACCCCCCCCCCCCTTGTTTGGAATAGAAGCGTTTATAATATTCCTTCTGATTTCGATTTCTACTTCGTTAGTGTTATAAAAATGTACCTCACCTTCGCGTTGGCCTACAAAAATAAAAAAGAAGATGAAGCAAACGATGTACTATATTCACTCTTCTCTTCATGTACCGCGAAGTTGCTTTTTTTGTACGGGAAAGCCCATATGTTGCAGAGTGTAGTACAAAAGCTACCAGACTTCAAAAACTTACCTCGTTTGCGTGAGTTCTCACGATTTCAATAAATTCAGCGAGATACTTTTTTTAAAAGCATTGCTTTCTCGCTGGTGATCAAAGCCAGTGCTGGGTGAAGGATACACAGGCCCGCTGCATGTACCCTCTCCTCTTTGTCCGCGCACATTGTTCTGCAGAAACGGCTTCTGCCCCCGTTCGTTGTCGGATTATTTTATGGATCGGATTGTGATGGCTCGCGACTACTTGCAGCTGCTGGTGTGGAGAGGGGGAGGGCGTTTGATCTTTCCGAAAGGCTGCTACGATTAGAAAACGTAGGAAAGAGTATTGCAAATAAGAATCGCATGGGCATATTTCTAAATAACCATTTCCGTTCGTAAGTCAATAGACTGTGAATATCAGTCCCAAAGCAAAACTGCACAACAAATGCGACACCACAAATAAATCTCTTAAAACGCGTGTGCTTTGTCTTACAATGTTTGTTCAACACTAATAAACACTTGAAATCCAAGAGTTAAAAACCAAAGTTCTGTTAGATGGCTCTTCGGGTGATTAAGAGTAATGCTGAACGTGCTTACGAGGACATCCAAATACTTCAAAATCTAATAATCTCTTATATAATTCCATCAATTCGTATGATTTCAGTATGACATTATGCCTGTGGCCAACTGTTTAGTCGGCTTGCTTCGGTGACTCCTTAACAACTGGGTTTTGGTCGAGTTTTCTTGGCTTTATTAATCAAATGCAGAATTGGCCTTACGTTTGCTTTAACTGTCGTAAGGGGGGATGTTTCTTTTTTTCAAAAAACATATCTCTTCACAAGAACATGTCAATTTTAGCAAATTCCACAGCACGCCAGAATGCAGATATAATGTGGAAATAAATATTCACAAATACATGGAAATGTTATTTAAATATTACGTTCGTTTCTTGGATTAAGGAGGTATTTTAAGTAACTGAAATATTTAAAGAAATTCAAACACAAGTGCAAAGACGCGACACCACAAGCAAAAGTTTACACCGCCTGATCACGGAAAGTCCTCCCCCCATCAATTCCCTAAGTGCTTGTTCGTTTTTCCAAAGCAGCGGTAGAAAAAAAAACAGAACGAATACTCGGGGTCCCACAATACCCGAGTATATTGTGTTTTGTGTTCCTTGCCGCCTTAACCAACTAACACTTTCGTAGGCCAATTAATGCGAGGCCTCGCGCTGTTTAAGACGCTGTCGTCACATTCCAGAATCTGCTCGGCATGACGGCAACATTGCAACTTACTATTGAAATTCGGAGGAGGCCCTCCGCGCTCGTTCTAAATTAATTACCTTGTAGTCTTATGAAAGTGTGATAGGACAAAAGAATTCTTCCACGAAGAATTAAATAAATTACGTCAATTGTAAACGAGCGTATTTTATTGAGACGCAAATCCCACGCGGCGAAACAGCGCATTTTCCCAACCTCCCAAGATTTTTATCAGCGTTTTCTTTCAGCAGCGTTTGGCGTGAAGAATTACGTGCAAGTCATGCGCCTAAAGAGAAGACTCCCGTGCGCGTGGTAAAACGAATATAGCTTCTTAAAGCGGCGACTTAATTACGTCCCTGCGCCCTGCCCCGTCGTCGCGGCGGAGGGGGTGGGGGAGGACAGGGGAGGGGAATTCCGCAGATGCTATCGATGCATAACGAGACGCGGCGCGAATTTAGGGCAAAACGCGACCGGCTCGGCCACGGCGGCGCCTCGCGAATTCCGGAATATTTCTGGGTAACGAGCAAAAAAAGGGCCGTTGGGCCGGGGGCACATCCCCTGGCATGGAGCCCAGCACGACACTGCCCTGCCTCCTCAGGACAAGCACCAGGCCTCGCCCCTCGCGACTCGCCGGTCTCTGGTTTCATGCGCTCTTCCTACCACACGCCGCTGAGTCCCACGACGCTATTTGGGAAAATAAATTTAGGCGGTTCCTTCCACTATTCGCTCTAGCATTGCCCTTTCTTTTGTGCACACAAGTAGCAACCGTCTAATCTTCTAAGGTCTGCGCATTGGAAGGCGAATTCGCGATTGTTGCCACGATAGAGACTGTAGAGAAGAAAAAGGACCAGACAAAATATTGTTTTTTCTATAGAGGAGAAGGGCTGGTCCCAACATGAGAGGAGGGGACTCGAGCACTATTTTGCTTGCTCTGGTAGTTTAATCTTCGGGGGCTTAAATCTTCCTATACTGCCACAGATTTTATCTAAATTATGGAAAAGAGTCACAATGGGAATTCTAACATTCCTAGATAAAAGAGGGAGCCACCGCCAAGTGTGACATTGCAGGGTTGCTGAAGTTGACAGTTCATTTGGCGCTTACCGGCTCTAGTCTAATAAAAGCCGACTGACACGCGAGCAACAGCAGCAGGCCACCGGGGCCAGTCTGTTCCGGAACCTTACAATTGAGTATGTGTGTCATAGTGTGTGAGTTGTTAATCCGCACCTGAAGCTGCCTAGATCGGGAAGTCCTAGTCGGTGGTGGATTATCGATGCCGAGAAGTAAGTAGGTTGGGCAAGGCCGCCCTCTGGATGAGAATTCTAGTGGTTGGCTGATTCGTTTTACAAGGGGTGTCCACTGGTCGATTTCTGGCAGATTCCGGATTAATAGCTCAAGCCAAGTGCAACTGACCATGCGCAATCTTCCATTCCCCTCCTGTTCCCACTCCTATCCTTGAAGCTCAGCCTTAGAAAAAATTCACATCGTCATACAACCCATCCCTTGTGATTTTAAAAGATTATTTTCCTTCTGCGATCGCGCGGACCACAGGCAAAGTCCCGAACTGGCCTGCAGCGCAACCTGAAAGACGTACTACTACACGCGTTCTTTGGAAAATGCGAATTCTCTTTTTCAGAGAAACCTAATTCGGAATTAATTTTACGGTTTGCGTGGCATTTTCCACGTCGAAGACTTCACACAGTTTGGCATTTGCCCCGGGCTTCCTTGTATGACACGCAGTAGCCCCAATACATCCCATTCTCAAGATTATTATTCACACGTGAGGTCACCGATGAAAAATAATCGATGAAGCAATAGTGACGTGCAGTCGGGATCCTGCGGTCCCACCATGCGAGATCTGATTGCTCGGCTGCATTTCGGCTCAAGCTGGTAATTACAAGCGGCGATTACGTCATTTGCACAGCGCCATTCCAGCAAAAGTAATACGCATCCTGCTCTGCGGCCGATTAGAGAACGATCTGAGGGAAAAGCGTGAAAACGACCGGTAGAGCAACTTATGAACGTGATTATATTACACTGAAGTGAGATTTTTGAGGAGTGCAATAATTTGAGCAAAACAAGAGATTTTCAATTTAAAATTGGAATTTGATTTACATAATGTAATTAAACCACGAAAATAAACATTGAACATGTAATTATTCTCCACACAAAAACTAAACTATAGATTCTTAAACCAATATTATTTAATTATATTAAAATAAATATACAATCGTTGTACTTGCTAAAGAAATTTGATATCCTTAAACTTATATTTTATTAAATACCTCGAACATTATATATATATTATATATATATATATATAATATATATATATATATATATAATATAATTTAATATATATGAGTTGAAAATGTTACTCGACTTCGATTTCCCTTAAAGTTCAACTGAGCGAGAAGCAATTTTTGAACTAGCTAGGGAAAGGGGGAGCTAACAGAGGCGAATGAATAAAATTAACTCGCATATATCTGAAATAAATTAAGGAATTATATTATGTTCTCATAAAGCTTATTTTCAACCTCATGTTCTGTTGTTACTCCTTTGACAGGAACGAGTATTAATTTTCCTGATTGTCCTAGATCCAGTTTAGGCAAATCTGGGCCAATAATTCCCCGGAATCCGGAATATTTATAGATATTGATAAACATTAATACTGATGTTTTCGTAATAACAAATATGACAACACTTTTGATAAAAAAAAACTGCTCCAAATAGGAAGCGTTAAATTAAAGATTGAAAAAAGTAGGATAGGAAAGGGAGGAAAGAGGGAGGCACAAAACAACGAGAGAAGCAAGGGGAAAAAGAGGTCGAGAAAGAGAAAATAAATAAGTAATAGGACAATAAAAGTGACGATGGAAAGGAAAGAGAAGAAAGGAAGTAGAGGAAGAAGGACATGAAGAAGAGGAAGAGGGAGAAAGAGGAAGTAAAAGGAGAAGAGAAAGACGAGGGGAAAATTAGAAAAAGAGTAACAGGAGGAGCAAGGGAGGAGAAAAGATAGAAAATGAAGACTAACGAGAAGAAAAAGAGGAGGTCGAAGAGGAAGAAAAGAGAGAAAGTAAGAAGTGAATGTAAAGTGAATAGATGAAATGAAGAGCAAAAAAAGAAATGGATGGAAAAAAGGAAGAAAATACGGTCAGAATGAAGAGCGAAAAGGAAGAAAAGACGGAGAGAATGAAGAGGATGGAAAATTGATAAAAATAAGAGAAGAAAAGAAGAAGAGGTGGAAGAAAGGAATAAAAACGGGAGTGAGAAGGTAACGGATAAGAAGAAAAGAGGCGCAAAGAGGAAGAGGAGGGAGAAAAGACGGGGAATGAGAGGAGGATGGAGAAGCGGGGCGGCGTGCACTCACCGGAGTCGGAGGAGGTGGCGCGCACGGAGCCGACGACGGTGCCGCGGGCCACGTCCTCGCGCACGGCGAAGGTGGAGCGGGCGCGCTCGAAGATGGGCGGGCGCTGCGCCGAGTCCGTCACGCTCAGGAAGACCTCGGCGTCGCTGGGCGCGCGCAGCCCGCCGCCGTCCACGGCCGAGATGTTGAGGCGGTGGTAGGGCGAGGTGCGCGTCGACAGCAGCGACGGCCGCGTCACGAAGATCTCGCCCGACGCGTGGTCCACGCGGAAGAGGCCGGCGTCGTTGCCCGCCGCGATGCGGTACTTGACGGCGCCGTACCGGCCCGAGTCGGCGTCCGTCGCCGCCACCACCACCACGGGCTGCGACGGGCCCGTGTGCCCGCCCTCGCGCAGCGACACGTTGTACTCGCGCGGGTAGAAGGTCGGGTGGTTGTCGTTCACGTCCGTCAGCTGGATCTTCACCATGGCCGTCGTGCTCAGCCCGCCTAAGGGACAAAACACGAATGTCAACAAGAATCTTGACTTATTTATTTACTTATTTTTTACTATTTATTTATTTATTTATTTATTTATTTATTTATTTATTTATTTATTTAATCGTCTAACACAGTAAAAACCTGTATGAGGTTGTACGGGGAGAAGTACTCGTGTAACATTAGCTTATTTTCTTGAGCTCCAGAGTCACTTCCCTCACCCTTTTACAATACATAGCCGAGTGATGAAGAGGAAAATCAACCCAGTATGGTTAGAAACAATTTGAAAATTGGATATTTTGGCTCCCGAATAATAGAATACCTTTTTGGCCAACAACAGATTTGAAAATACAGAATCCTACACTATGTGATCAAAAGTATCCGGACGCGTCCAAAATGGTGTTATGGTGTGGTCATGTTTTTCATGGGGAGGTTTGCACCCCTTGCATTGTGTGGCACTATCACGGCACAGGTCTACGTTGATGAAACACCTTCTTGCTTCCCACTGTTGAAGAGCAATTCGGGGATGGCAATTGCATCTTTCAACACAATCGCGCGCACCTGTTCATACTGCATGGTCTGTGGCGGAGTGGTTACACGACAATAACATCCCTGTAATGGACTGGCCTACACAGAGTACTGACTTGAATCCGATCGAACACCTGTGGGATGTTTTGGAACGCCGGTTTCGTGCCAGGATTCACCGACCTACATCGATACCTCTCGTCAGTGCAGCAATCCGTGAAGAATGGGCTACCATTATCCAAGAAACCTTCCAGCACCTAATTGAAAGTATATATGTGAGAGTGGACGCTGTCATCAAGGCTAAGAGTGAGCCAACACCCTATTGAATCCAAGCATTACCAATGGAGGGCGCCACGAACTGGTAAGTTATTTCCAGCCACGTGTTCGCATACTTTTAATCACAGGGTACATAGAGTAGTACCATTCGCGCACGTGAGGAGTCATTCACGCGTCTTGGCCTGTGGTGAGAATATACCCTTTTCTCGTGAGTTTTCAACTCATAAAACGCGCTTTTTAGTATTAAAACACCTAAAGACATGAACAATAAACTAATGCGTACTTCTCAATATGATGAAACGATTTAGTAAACCCAGTATAGAATAATCTAAAAAAACAGAAAAAAATGTTTTGACGAACTTAATGCACCTAGAGTGATGAAAATCTATTAATTACCATTTTGTGTTTCCGGCGTAACATGGATTGTTACGTCTGGATTCATTAAATTAATGACAATTAAATTTAATTTTGTAATGAAACAAAAAATAAAATAAGCATTCCAATTCTCTCTTTTCGATAATCTTTCTATGATGGAGTACAAATAAAAATGTTTAACAAGACTTTTCCACTGCTGAAATGAACACCAATAAAATTTAACTATATATCTGAGCACCAATCAAGAAGGTATATACTCCCACTCAAAAAAAATGTCGCTTTTCATGTCTCCTCCCTGCTGTCCCATCACAAGATGTGATATATAATAGGAAGCCCTGCCCTGTATACTTGGGGCGCGCCCAAACACCACAGCAATAACGCCAAAAAACCACCGCGCCAATACAATTAATATTTGGCGCATTCTTATACTTTGGGGGAGGTAGTTTCATCCGTGGAATAGTCTCATCCAACAGCGCTGGTGCCATCCCGGGAATGACGTACCTCTGTCGGTGGCGATGACCGGGAACTCGAAGACGGAGCGCGTCTCGTAGTCCAGGTCGCCCGCGATGCACACCTCGCCGCTGCCCGAGCGCACCTCGAACTCGCGCACCTTGCCGAAGCCTTCGCCCAGCGTGTAGTTCACCATGGCGTTCACGCCACAGTCGGGGTCAGTCGCAGACACCTGCGGGAAAAACAACAGGCTTCATTAATTTATTTATTCGAAGGAGATGCACAGCAGCGACCAACAAAACCAAAAATAAATGCTAACACAAATAACAATAATGATGAATCTATAAAAAAATGTTTTCGTTGTTTTGACTCTTGCAAATTTGATGTTTTTTTTCTTTTCGATTAAATTAATCAAATCAAATTAAATAACAAGTATATTTGTAACGTAATAAAGGTAAAACAATATGATATAATTAAAAGCAGACACGTGGTTCGTGGGTATCTACAAAATACATTTAAATATTTCTTTCCTCGATAAACTCACGAGTAAAAAAAGATTTAAAAATAAATATTATTAAATCAAAAGACATATGCAACCTCATAATTTTATCTAGAGTTTACAATTAATGAACTTTCTTCCGACCTAGGCCAGCATATTTATCGAAATCAGAATAGCATCAGTTGAGAAATGTTACTTGCTCTGCATCAAAGGTTATCAAAACCTGCCATCTGCATACAATACTTATTAAAAAATACGTGTAAGCATCATATTAAGATGTAAGTGTGAAATAAGCAGTGACGTATTGCTGCGGGAATTCTTCACAGATAGACTCCTCGATCCAAAGCAAGTTGCGCGAAAGTTCAATTTACCGACTGGAAAGATGCACTAAGTAAATTAGAAATATTTATATATAGGTACATACGCGCATGGGAATCAAAATGATTAATTAGACTGTACAGAAAATTAATTAAGATGTAATTAATCACAAAAGATGTCTTCGAAGCTAATCTCAATTTTCAGTACGTTACACGTCCCTCTTAATGAGATGCAATGGTGTTCGTCAAGTAAATTACAGTCAACATTGATGTACTTTCCAGGAAATATGGCAATCTCCTCGACGTGATTTATTATATCTTGAAAAGCAAGGCCTGGTCAGCGATGTGCCTCGACTCCCCGGAGGCGTCATACGTCAATTGCAAGGCCGCCATCGTAGTACGGTCTTTTATATTCTTTGGACAACGCACACACCTCTCCTCGCTGATTGGAGGATGAGTCAAACACATGAGGAAGTCAGTGCTGGCGAGATGCTTAAGAAACATGTTTCAAGATTTTGGAAAATTGTTTTTCCATTGAAAAAGATGCGACTAATATGCATTCATATTAAACTAAATCTAAGAAAAATATGACCTTGCAATTTTTTAAAATTTTTTTGTCATATGTGATGAACTTATTTTGTTGCAACTTGGAACATCTTTATCTGACTTCAATAACTGCACATATTTCATAATGCAGGAGAAGGAACACATGGCTCGATTTACACAGACACAAAAATAACTCGTACGGGAAAGATAGTACACGCAGAAGCTCATCTTCTCAACGATTTCTAGTTCTCTAGGTTATTTGAACAATGGTGTCTACTTGAAAAAGAACTATGATACAAAAGAAAAGTACAGAGGAAAATCGTTATCATTAACAGTTAATTATTCCGATTCATTCAGTTATAAGACTTATTACATAATTTTGAAATGTTATATATATATTGATGTCATGTTAATGTTAAATGTTAAATATTTAGTGTTTATCGTTTACTATTATTATGTTTGCAAATAGATTAGTGATGTTTCGTTTGGCGTGAAACACAGAAAGGTAGTACTTGATTTTGGAGGATACACTTGCATTGGTTATGTAATTCATTCAGAACTAATGATTGTGCATATTGCTATATTATACAATAATACTATAACTGATTTTGAATAATACTGTTTCCTTTTCTCATCTATCATGTCGGATTCAATATTGGATGGTGTTGACGTGGGTTTGATTGATACTTCAACGGGTATGATTGAAATGTTCAGGTCTTTTGGTATAATTTCTACCATATCAATGGCATTCGTAACTGGACGGTGGTAATTCGATTGAAATATCTGCAGTACGTCGAGACTTTTATTCCACCTGTCCACATTGGTTTTGTAGATCAAATGACTGCTAGCCAAATCGAAGAGGAGGAAGTGCCCAAAACATTGTGACGTGTGGTTCTATCACGAAACGCCACTTCCGCACAGCCGGCGCCTGACGCCTTCCCAACCCCTCGCCCTGATATCCGGGGAGGAGTCGCCCCCTGCCCCTCTCCCGTGTCACGTCGCGCCGGGCCGGGGCTGGCTGAATGTCCTGGTCCATACCGCATCGGGGAGGAACGGCCCGGCCCGGCGGATGCTGCGTTATCTCAGATGTCTCGGATGATTAATGGCGTGATAATGACATGAGGAGCAGGCGCGGGCGGCGGGCTGCCGGGGTCGCGTCTCCGCCGCCAGCCATGCCGCCCAACAATTCCAAGATGGCGGCGCGGACGGGCGGCAAGCCCAGGCGAGGACGGTGCTCCACCCCGCGCCCACCTGTTGGCGCGTTGGGCCCTCCGAGGGCTGTGGCCACTTGGCGAGCGAGTCCTCGAGGCCCCATTGACGCGCTTCATTTTCACGAACGATTCCGGAGTTTTGGCGAACGCGCAGAAGCGCGGTGCCGCTTCTGGGGTGCCGTAAGCCAAACCGCACACGCACGCATTCGCTAAAACTGAAAAATCGTGGGTCAAAAAAAGCGTGTAAATTGGAACGAACGGTCTAGAAAGCCCTGAATAGCCCGTGTCCCTCGACGTCTCATTACCAAATAGTGTTTTTAATGCAAATTCTGAAAAAATTCAAAACCACAGATTTGCAGTAACTTGTTGAATAGTCTTCATAACGAAATTCGCATGTCATTGGGGAGGATAAGGAGATATATGTAAACGGTTCTCTATTGAACTTTAACAGAATCTGCCATTCGTTGTAATTAGATTGATACGCTAGTGAAGAAATTTCAAAAAGTTTGCTCTTGACAAAACGTCCGTTCCTCCCAGCGCCACCCATGATGCAGTGACAAGGGCGTGAAAATAAGGCATTAAAATATATTTAACTCAATTTTTCAATAGAAACACGGAAGGAAGGAATTTGTTTTTCAAATTTTTCATTGAAGAGTTTATTTCCAAAGTGACGTATCTCCAAGATATGCTTTGTTTCAGAGAAAGCCTTTTAGATGAAGATAGGATATAACTGTTTTGGGATACAGCTTAACATAAGCTAAATACCATTTTTGAAAACAATATTTGGCAGTATGATGCATCTTCAGGAATATACTAATACGTACAACTACAAAACAAACGGTAATGGAGTCTACAAGTTCTTCCATTTATTTTTGAAACCTTGCCACGGAAGATGTTGCCGTCTCCCTGGGGTCCGCGTTCCACGGTTCGAAAGCCCCTGCTCCGCCATGCGCACGAAGCAGTGCCCCCACCATCCACCATCCACGCGCGGGCGCGGGGGCACTGCGCGGCGCGCCGATCACGGGGGCGCACCGCAGACAAAAAAGCCAGTTCCGCGCGCGATGGGTCGCTCGCTCGCTGGCGCGGCGGCGGGCGGTGGCGCCAGGGCGCGAGGCGAGGGGCGGGGGCGGGCGAGAGGAGCGGCCTCATTCACCGGAGGTGGTGAACATGGACGGCCCGAGACGCTCGACCGGCGCCGCCCTGCCTCAGCCCCGGTCCGCCCGCCCCGCTCGTCCCGCTTGCTCACCACCCTCACCGCGGCCAAAACTCCTCTCGACCCGACCGACCGTCGAGGGCTGCACCGCGCAACAGAGCACACTCAAACGCAACCGCAGAAAGACGACGCCGAAATTCTCTTCTCAATCCTATAGCGATTTGAAGATCGAAAAATCTTTCCACACCACTACATCGCGCAAAAGAGAGGATAAATTCCGAAATCGTTTCCGAGCAAAGGCGAAGGAAAAGGCTCACGCCTGTATGTCTTCCCTTTTCCTGGGCAAATAATCACAGCGGTGGTTTACCTTTGCCTTCCACTGGATGACGGCACGGGCGACTAACTGGCCAATGATGAAAGATGAATGATTAGAAATGAGTTGTTGTTCAGATACAATTCGCGGTGGTATAATAGCAGGCAAACATATGTTAAAAACATCCGTCCATTATCGGGTCGTGAACTCGAAGCATTCGTGCTCCGTGCACTTGGCTGATACTCCCAAGCGCTGCGTCATCGAGGCTTGGAGCTACTAGACTAGGGGGAATTCGTTTCGCCGAAAGTTTACACGATTTTTAGTCGCGTCATTTTTAATGGAATTACTACAAAATGATAACTACGAAATTTGTGAGAAACCGGAATGTACTAACAACAGGTTTGTAGAAACACTAAAAAGTAAACGTAAAGAGTATTTATTTCATTGAAAGGTATTCAATGAGAAAAAATTGATGCAAAAAACGCATGTAAGAAATAGTGAAGTCATGTGTCGAAGAAAATAGTTGACAATTGGTTAGTGTATTCAGTTATTTTACGAAATAATCGCGTTTGCAAGAAAGGGAGATGCGTCGAGATGTGAGGAAACGAAAAATGTTTCAGAACGAGAAACTGCATGTAGCTTCCCACAAGCAACGGCATCTGGCTAGAAGGAAATGCGGCGTGGTAGAGCGAGGAAGCACTAAGTACTCCATTAATAGATTAATGGTTACGTTTAAATAGCGATGCGCAGATGTCTGCGTCGTTGGCGGATGCAGCAGAACGAGGCAAAATAGACAGTGCAATAGCGGCGGAATCCGCGCCTAACGATACGGCGAAGCTGCAGGGGCTGGACGTGGCCCAGGAGGGAGCGGAGCAGGAGTGGAACGAAGAGGAGCAGAATGGCGACGAGAACAGAGGTGTAGAGACGAACGGAGCGGAGAAGTGAACAAGAGTGGAGAGGGGTACACCGGAGAGGAGCGGTGCGGAGAGGAGCTGAATGGAGAGGAACGGAGCGGAGCGGTGACGAGCGGAGCGGAGAAAAGTAGAACGGAGAGGAGCAGGGCGGAGAGAGCGAAGAGGGGCGGAGCGGTGCGGAGAGGAGCGGAGAGGAGACGATGGAAGCCGAGAAGGTCGGAGCAAAGACGATAGGAACGGAGGCGGTGGGAGCGGAAAGAAGAGGAGCGCATCGGAAAG